TTTTTTTTTTTTTTTTTTGCCGGACATTGCCCGCACCGCCCGCACCACGGCTGCTTAGCTAGTATATATATATGTATCCTACCCCTTAAGCGTGGTGGGCCCGCGGGGGGGAGGTCGTGTTCCGCTGCGCACCGGATTCGGCTTGAAGTTTTGATTCGGACCGGCGGATGAAGGTGATCGAGGGAGGGGTATTGTGCAGAGCGGCGCGCGTACCGAATTGTTCACAACACGCTACTAAACGAGAGAGAGCGCCCACTGGGCCCGGTACACGGCGGGCGTCGATGCTCATCAATATCTGGACGCGCCCGTCGTTGGATAGCAAGAAAATGTCATTTCGTGGCCCGACCCTTTTTTTTTCTTTTTTCTTTTTGAATTTGTATTCTTTTTGGAATTTGTTATTTATCTTTTTTACTTTTAGTTTTTTTTTCCTCCTTCCAGCGTGTCGTTTTGTCTCCTTCCGGCGCGGCCCGGCCCTTTTTGTTTTTAGAATTTTTGTTTTCGGCGCGTCGTTTCTGACTTTTTTTGTTTTTCTTTTTGTATCGTGGTTATTTCCTTTTTTACTTTTTTCGTTTGTTTTTCATTTTGTTTTGTGGTTGTTTTCTTTTCTTTTTTTTGGCCTCAGGCGGGAAAATGGAAAAAAGAAAAGTCGCGCCCACCCACACGCACTCACTCCCGCCCACTACCCACACTCACTCACTCACGCCCGCCCGCCGGCCCACCACCCACACTCACTCACTCGCTCACTCCCGCCCGCCTGCCCGCCCGTCTGCCCACCCACCTACCCTCACTCACACCCACCCGCTCGCCCGCCCGCCCACCCACCCACCCACTCACATACATACATACATTATATATTATTATTATTATTATTATTATTATTAAGTATTTGAAGTTTGTTCACCACAGTGGGTGCGTTGGGATTTGAACCCACGCACAAATTTTGAAATACCTAATTGCCCGCCTGAGCTAACCACTCAGGTGGACTGGGTCCCTGTTTGTTTTTGGGGAATGCTGTCTTTTGAAATGTATCCGACGTCAGGCTGCTAGCACGTCAGGATGTGCCTGTGTGTCCGAACCCTCACGTTGCATAGTGTGACCCCCGCCGACTTGAAATGGACTTTCCTGCCCTTACCGACCAGGTTCTTATGGGGGGCGGCGACCAGCAGGCACAGGCAGGTCCGGGCCAAACATTTTCAAGCACGAACTTTGACGATTTTTCGCGCTTTGAACAATTGGTAAACAAATCTGAAAATTTGATATCCTGTAGATTAGGCTGTGATATTTCCAGGAAAAATATCAGAAAAACGAAGAAAAAAAAACATTTAACGGTGAAGTAAATGCCGCGCTGTTTTGTCACATTTTCCATTTTTACTACTCTACCACGTTTGGGCCAACGGGAAAAAAAAACAAACTTTCCCGATTTCTCGACAACTCTCTAAATTTGAGGGTCTATAGATTTGGTCGTGATCTTTACAGAAAAAATATTTAAAAAAATAAAAAAAATCATTTCAACCGCGAAATAAATCCCGGGGGTAATTCAATGCATTTTTGAATTTTGCCACTCTGCCAGTTCCCCCCACTGGACTACTGGTAGCCCTCATGGACCTGTGGTCGCAGCTGGGGTCCAGGTACATGTACAGATCAAGTTGTCGTGTGGGGTCCAGGTACATGTATAGATCAATTTGTTGTGCGGGGTCTCTCTCTCTCTCTCTCTCACACAAAAAAAAAAA